GGTAGGCGGCGAGCTTGGCGTCGCTCCAGCCGCTGCGGCGCCGCAGATCCACCCAGGGCCCGTGCGCCTCGCCCAGGTACACGCGCCGCACGTCGTACTTCTTCCGGGACTCCAGGCGCCGCCGGGCTCGGTCCGACTCCGTGAGCCGCGGCCGACCCCGTGCCTTGCGGCCCGCCGCGCCCTCCTCGGTCGCTGCCTCCTCGCCTACGCCCGCCTCAGCCTCCGCCTCCGCCTCGGGCTCCGGCGCCCGCTCCGCCATCCCCCCCCACCCTGGTTACCAGCCTCCCCCGTTGTTAGGAGCCAGACCGGAAGTGGCGCGCATCTTCCGCGCCGCCGGGAAATTTCTCATGGACTCTCACTGCCCTGCGGCGCCACAAGGAGCGCGAGAACGGGAATTGCCCATGCGCAAAATCCATTCTCCACCCCACCCTCTTTTCACTTAAACTTCTAGTGAAAGAAGGACTGGAGGTTTGTGGTGGGCTCCAGGGAGGTAGAGCCAGAAGAGATGGTAGACTCTTAGGGGGATCACTGGCAAGCTCAGATCTCGGGGAGAGGGAGCCACGCTGCCAGAAAGGAAGGACGGCAGCCCCAAGCGGGACAACTTTTATTTGCTGTATACTCAAAAGTCATCTCAAGCTCCCGCCAGCCCACGGCCTCAGGCCACAGCTCAAGCCCTCGTGCCCGCGCAGACTCAACTCTGGCTCTGCTGCTGTCGCTGCAGATTGTCTTCCCCCTCTTCCTGGCCCTCGGGTGGTGGCGGCTCCTCCAGACTTGCGGAGGACGCCAGGAGCTCCCCGGTGGACCCGGCTAGGCGGAAGACCACCGGGATGTGGGCCAGGACTGGGTTGGTCTCCTGCAGGCCCTGGATCCATTTGGCCAGCGTTGCCTGGTCGTGGGCGCCGGCCATGCACATGGCAAAGACAGGGCCTTCCTCCACTGTTGAGAGAGTCAGGCCCTCAGCATTTGTGCCCACACCTCGCTGAGGTGCTTTGTGCTCCCTTGCGCTTTCCTGTGCCTCCAAGCTGGCCCCGCATGTCTATGCCGCCCACTCCAGGCTTCACCTGGGTGATGCCTCCTCCCACTTCACCTGGGTGAAGCTTCCTGACTCCCACTTGAGGCTGGGTGTGGCATGCTCCTCCCCTCAACTCCCCAAAATGTAACTTGCCTCTTACCCCACTGATCCGAGGGACTGGGTCTGTCCTGGTCACACCCAGCAGAGGTGCTCCATAAATGTGCGGACAGAGGGAATGACCAAGGGCTGACAGGGCATATGATGGATGCGTGTGTATGTGGGGAGCCGGGGTAAGTGCGTTGTGTCTCAGCCTGGGCCCCACCCCTCAATCCCAATGGCCACCCCTCATCCCGGGTGGTGTTGGGAGTCCTAACTGTCTAGGTTTTTACCTTCTGGGGTTTTTTGGAGAGAAGATCTTGCCCTGTCGCCCAGGCTGGAGTGCAGCAGCAAGATCATTGCTCACTGCAGTGGCAAACTCCTGGGCTCAAGGGATCTTCCTGCCTCAGCCAACAGAGTAGCCACCATGCCTGGCTAAACACTTTTTTGTAGTGATGGGGTCTTGCTTTGTTGCCCAGGCTGGGTCTTGAACTCCTGGTCCTGAAGGATCAAGCAGTCCTCCAGCCTTAGCCTCCCAAAGCACTGGGATTACAGGCATGAGCCCCCACGCCTGGACTGGTGTTTACCTTCATCGATGTCAAACTCATAGTCGTCCCAGCCGCTCCTCCCATACTCAAGGTCCAGCTGCATTGGGTAGTAGAGGTTCCACTCCTCTGGAATCTCTTCTGCTTCCTACTCCAAGGAAGGAAGTGCAAACAGAGTCAGAGGCCAAGGATCTTGCAACCCTACCACCACACCTCCCATGAGCCTTGACAGTGCCAGCCCATACCTCATAATTTAAGCCCTTACCCGCTCCTCAGGGGGCAGCAAGTCAGCTCTGAGGATGTGATAATAGACACACTTGCCGCGGAGCCACAGGGAGAAGGGGCCCTCGACAAAGATAGGTCGGGCTGGGTTGTGGTGGGCCAGGGCAGCCTGCTGATCAGGACTCTGGATTCCTGGAGTAGAGACATGCATGCCCTGGTGTCCTGGCTGCTCCGCCCAAAGGCCCAGGGAACCCACCCATCAGGGCCTGTAACAGCCTCACAGCCTGTGCTCAGTGTCTTACCTACGATGTGGGGCTTGGTGGGATCTGCTGCCCCTGTAGAGTCTTTGGACCAAGGAATCTGCAAGAAGAGTAGGGGTGGAAGCTTGCAACCCAGCCCCTACAGAGGAGGGGAATTCCAGCGTATATAGAACACCTCTACTGCACCTGCTACAAGTCACTCAAGCCCATCCCTTCCTCCTTCCCTTCTATAGCATTTGGCAACAGTCAACATTTGAGATACTCACACTGAGAGAGCCCTGGGGCTAACCTGTCTGCATGAAAATCCTGGCTGTCACAAGCTGTGTGACCTCAGCCAAGTCACTGTACCTGCACGCCTCAGTTTCTCCAACTGCAAAATGAGGATGACAGCATTTACTTCATATGGTTCTAAAATGTTTAGAACAATGTCTAGCATGTAAGTGCTCAGTGCTTGTAAATTAAATAAATAAATAGGACCGAGCATGGTGGCTCACACCTTGTAAATTAAATAAATAAATAGGACCGAGCATGGTGGCTCACACCTGTAAGCCCAGCATTTTGAGAGGCTGAGACAGGATTGCTTGAGCCCAGAAGTTCGAGACCAGCCTGGTCAACATAGTGAGACCTTGTCTCTACAAAAAACAGAAAATTTAGCCAGGCGTGGTGGCGCACACCTATAGTCCCTGCTACTCAAGAGACTGAGGTGGAAGGATCACCTGAGCCCAGGAGGTCAAGGCTTCAGTGAACTGTGATCATGCCATTGTCTCGTCTGGGTGACAGAGACCCTGACTCAAAAAAAAAAAAAAGTCTCTCCAATGGCAGGGCATTATATACATGTTCCAGCCCTACCTTTTGTAGTTTTCATTTAATAATATGGCTGGGAGCCACTGATGAAGAGATCCTCCCTCCTCAGCCACCCAAAGTGCTGGGATTACAGGCATGAGCCACCACACCCGGCCAAATTTTTACTAATTTCTGATGTATCTTTCCAGTGTCTATTTTCATGAAAAGCAAAAATAGGTGCACGCACTTCTATTTGCGCCCCTCTTCTCGGGCAGCTTCCTGTACATACAGGTCTCTCTCTCTTTCACCTAATTCCTCCTTCTTCCTGACCATCTGGGACTGTGCAGTATGGGGCTACCATAGTCCACACGGATAAGTCCACTTTGTTGGATACTTGTATGGATTCCATTCTAATCCAAAATGGTATGGGTGGTCATTTTACCTGGAAATAGGCATCTCTGGAGAAAGAGAATAGGGACAGAGAACCTGGGCAGGAGAGGAGGATTCTTCACTGCATGTTTATATGTGTTGTTTGGCTTTTTTCTTTTTGAGATGGTGTCTCGCTCTGTCACCTCGGCTGGAGTGCAGTGGCATCACCCTGGCCCAACACAGCCTCGACCTCCTGGGCTCAGGTGATTCTTTTGCCTCAGCCTCCCATGTTGCTGGGACCACAGGCATGCATCACCATGCCCAGCTAATTCTTTTATTTATTTATTTTTTTGAGTTGGAGTCTTACTCTGTCACCCACACTGGAGTGCAGTGGCTGCTCCCGGCCACCGCAGTCTTGACCTGCTGGGCTCCAGCGATTCTTCCGCCTCAGCCTTCCGAGTAGCCGGAATTACA